CATCAATTATACGATGACAAGTATAGGTTCTTTCTATAAAGTAAATTAAATAAGGGGATATTTGCAATATTGTTGTTTAAATTAATTATTATAAATTTATAAGCAATGTTCAAATATGGGGTTTGCTGAATGGCTGACAGTGGCAATTAGGGCCCATAGGCGGGGCATCTATTAAGGACACACCTACAAGATAAGAGCGTTAAACACGACGGTGGCGAAGGAAAAAGAAAATGACAGTTTATTGCAATTTGCAATTGCGAATGGTTTTAATGAAATGCAAAAGATGTAGGTTGGAGGAAAATGAAAGGAAGAAGATAAGGAAAAGAGAAAAAGAAAGAAAGCGTGTAAGGAGAGTAATGTTTAGCGAATGAATAAAAGAGAAGGAGAAAGGGAAAAGAAAGAAAGAAAGAAAGAAAGAAAGATTAAAAGAGAGTAATGTTTAAAGAGTGAAGAAAAGATAAGAAAAATGGAAAAGAAAGAAAGAGTAATGTTTAAAGATTGAAGAAAAGATAAGGAAAATGGAAAAGAAAGAAAGAATGAAAGAAAAAGATTAATGTTTAAAGAGTGAAGAAAAGATAAGGAAAATGGAAAAGAAAGAAAGAAAGAAAGAAAGAAAGAGTAATGTTTAAAGAGTGAAGAAAAGATAAGAAAAATGGAAAAGAAAGAAAGAATGAAAGAAAGAGATTAATGCTTAAATAGTGAAGAAAAGATAAGGAAAATGGAAAAGAAAGAAAGAAATATTAAAAGAGAGTAATGTTTAAAGAGTGAAGAAAAGATAAGAAAAATGGAAAAGAAAGAAAGAGTAATGTTTAAAGATTGAAGAAAAGATAAGGAAAATGGAAAAGAAAGAAAGAATGAAAGAAAGAGATTAATGCTTAAATAGTGAAGAAAAGATAAGGAAAATGGAAAAGAAAGAAAGAAAGATTAAAAGAGAGTAATGTTTAAAGAGTGAAGAAGAGATAAGGAAAAAGGAACAGAAAGTAAGAATGAAAGAAATAAACAAAGAGAGAAAGAGAGTAATGTTTAGAGAGTGAAGAAAAGATAAGAAAAAAGGTAAAAGAAAGAAAGAGAAAACGAGAAAAGAAGTACAAAGAAATAAAATCAATGGGATAGATAGTAGGAGAAGGAAGAGGATGAAAAATAAATAGGGGAGGAGTGGGCAAAGAAAAAAGAAAAAGACGACAGATAAGGAGAAGGAGGAGGAGAAGGAACATAAAATGAATGGAATAAGAAACAACGAGAAATAGAAGAAGAAAAAACAAACAAAAGTAATGTTATTGTTCAAGTGCCTGCTGTAATACTCAAGTTCAACGCAGACGTCAAGGGAAACTAATATACAATGTGTCACTAAAATCGTCAGATATCGCTTAGTATCTGACTCCTCCTAGCATGAACTATCTTTACAAGAAATCAAATCAGTCCAAAAATGGTGTATTGGCTTGGCAGCGCCCATTTCCTCACTTTCCAGTTACGAAAGATTTCAAAGATTTTTACGCGCCCTTTAGGGTGATGAACGTTATTTTCTTTCCAACATTTCTTACTAAAGCAACGTCCCAGCCATCATGGTATTATTGCTATTTCAGTGGCAAATCTGACGAGCCACATTCATTAGTCCCGTCCGTTCAAACCTTTACAGGTAAGATCCACAGCTAAGATCCACCATATTATATACAATAACTGTCCCCATCACCTTCGCATCCCATTGGGATTGAGAAAATTCCATATGGATAGATTCCGCTCAAGATCCGTTGCTTTTTGGAACAGACTCCCGAGAGAATAATTTCCCTATCACATACAATGTACATTTGGTAATGTTTCTCTCATATCCTTTCATTGCTAACTAAATATTTAAATATTAATCCAATTTCGTTTTGGCAATGGATTGTCAATGGTTATAAATTAATGTAAGCATCGCGTACGGAGGTAAGTATTTATATATAATTATTTAAATGATTCTTTTAAGGGGAAAAATTTATGACAAAGTGGAACAGGTTTTTATGTGACGTATTTCGTCTTTCAGGGCTTCATCGGATTAAATATATGTTTACATTGATAGGATTACACCGGCGCACGAGTGAAAGATGCTTCCAATTTTAAATTTAAAAATATTTTTTTAAAGAATTTTTTCGTTTAGATTCTTATTTTCTTTTTATTTCCGTCACTTTTGTTAATCCCGCATTGTGACAATCAAACATCTGCCAAAAATGGTGAAACAAAAGAAACTGGAAAACAAATTCACTGTGGATGATCTAGCGATTAAATCACTTTATATTTTTTTTGTCCTAATAAATGATTTTCTCTTTCTCTAGTATTATTATCAGTCTCGTTACGGTGAGTAACTAATGCATTTTGTGTACTGATCTGTAAAATATCTCTTTTGCGTTCATATAAAATTTTATTTAAATTCGTTGAAGTTATTCGAAACGCCATATCATAACGCTGAATATTTGTAAAAAATATGGAATAGTTCTTTGGAAGCAATATTTTTAGACGAGAATACTTAGGTGATAAGGAAACTGAATAGAGAAAAACGAACGAACACTGTACATTTTTTGTATCAAAGAATTTTTTGTAAACTAGCATATTTTAGACCTCAGGTGATAAGGAACTGGACATAGAAGAAAGAAAATCAAACTACAATTTTGTACCAAATGATGTTTATAGGTTTGCATAATTTAGACCTTAGGTTATAAGAAAACTGAACATAGAAGCGGGAATTATTACAGATAATAGTTTAAATTCCTTCTTCAGGTTTTAGCTTATTATTTTGTTTGTATTTGGTACTTGTTATTACAATACTATCAACAAATATATACAGTCAGAACTGTCGGAAAGGAGCAACTTGTTGACATCATAATAGCAGTTATAGGAGTGTTTACTCAGGTTGATTAGAGTGTGTAAAGATTCTGTTTTTACGTATAGACGATGGTGATTTATTAGCAATCTTGTCCAGACGTTCCAATTTCCACACCTTTCTTGTGTTTTCTTTGTTTTTGTGTGCTTAAATGACTATCAGATTTTGTCTAATATATTAGGAGTGTTAATCACGTTATAAAACGGGCAGATTAATGGAAAACACGACGCTTTATCTCTTATATTTAACAATATTTAATTCAAAACAAATAATTCGTCCGTTACTGTCGTCCAGTGTTTAAAAGCGTGATCTATGGAGATCGCATCCGGAGATGAACGTTGCATCTTTGTCTGTTATCTCGGAGAAATTACCCAGCTCCTCTCTGGGGCGGTTCGAGTATTCTTTTACCCGTTTGCAAACCAGTATACAGCTGAGCGGACAGTGTTTCTGTGTTCGGTGGCCTTGTTTTCAAGCCAGGTCAATCTTTCAGCTTCCCTTGATGGCAGATGTGATATTGAGTATAAATTCCACACTGGTATACAACTAAATTTGATTACCATTCCGTATCGTCCGGTCTGGTGATACGAAAGTGTACATACTATACAAAATTGTTCACCAGCATACAACCTCGAAAATAAATAGGCAAGAAAAAAAAAATGGCAGTGAAGGGGTTAATGCGTTAATCCTTGGCAAAAACGTATCGGAAATACTTAAGAAAACAGGTCCATTCGTAAAAAAATATGGAAAAAGTTCTTTGGAAGTAATGTCTTTAAACGAGAATAATTAGGTGAAAAATAAACTGAATAGAAAAAAAACGAACGAGCCCTGTACATTTTTGTATCAAAAGATTTCTTTGTAGACTAGCATATTTTAGACCTCAGGTGATAAGGAATAGAAGACCGAAAATCTCACATAGAGAACGAAAATCACATACAAGTTTGTACCAAATGATGTTGATAGGATAGCATAATTTAGACCTTAGGCTATAAGAAAATTGAACATAGAAGCAGGAACTAGCACTATACATTATTTTATCAAATCATGTAGACATACAATAAATATTGACATTGCATTTCAATTTTTGAATACCCAGTTTGGCTAGAATGTAAGGAATCGGTAGAGAGTTCCACAAGTAAGAAGTTCGAGAAAATAAATTTAAAAAATAGAATTTACGGTTACATCTAGCCATTTCAATTGTAAAATAATGAGTCCTTGCCACTCTAGCACTGCGATTAAATTCTTTAACTCTATGTATCATAAAGGCACGTATTGATAGAAAAGGCGAATGGAAGGTATATTATGGCGGAAGAAAAGTGACTGAAGCGAAGATTACATTGCAGGTTCTTTTTTGGATTTTGTCAAGGCCTTCTAAATATATTGCAAGTGTACAAGACCATATTTGGCAGCTATATTCAAAGCAATTAGAAACGGTAGATTTATAAATATGTAAGGGGAAAAACATTGCCTAGGTCGACACAAAAAAGCAGACCTAGCAACTGATTCAATATGGTCTTTACACTTCATGTCAATGGAAAACGTTAGCTCGAGAAGTTCCAATGAGTCAGTTTCCTGGAGATTAGCACGAGTTATGTTGATGGAAGGCAAAAAGGGCTCTCGCAGACGATTAAAATAAAGCAGTTTTGTTCTGGAACCGTTAAAATTTACAAGCCATTCCTCGCCTAAGTTAACAAGAGAATATTTACGATCAGTAGCCAATCTGATCTTATCGAACCGATCAGGCTTAATATTAAGTTATGAGTAAATACAAATATTAAGGTTTGGCATGGATTGGTAGTTAATTATTCCTTCGATGCAGGTAAATTCCAAGCTTGCTATAGAGATGCAAGAAGAGTACAAAGAAATGAATGAGTTGGAAAATAATTGGTAATTTGCTGCAAAATATTAAAAGGCAGCAAAAGCAGAAAACAAAAAAGGAAAATACGTTTAAGACAAAATAGAATAATAATAAGGTCCCAAAACAATGGAACTGCAAGAATAAATAAAACAAACAACTTCCGGTCCCCTACCAGCAAGAAAAGAGAGCAAAACAAATCACAATAAAGCAAGCGGATTGGCGAGTGGGGGGGGTAGTAAAATCGAAGGAATTGATTAAGAGCCAAGATAGAGAATGAATGTAAACAAGGACTTATGAAGAAAATGAAAATTTGGACGTAATGAATGAAAGAAAGAAAAGCGGCATAAAGAAGGAATGAAAAAAATGGCAGGTTAATGAATGAATGAAAGCAAGGGGTTTAGTAAGAATGAATGAAAAACGACGTAATGAATGAATAAAAGCAAAGAGGCCTAACAAAGGAAGGAAAAGATGGGCGGTGGGAAGAATGAATGCAGGTGGCCAGGAAGAATGAATGAAAAACGGGGTGTAATGAATGACTAAAGCCAAAGAGACATAAAGAAGGAAAGAAAAAAAGGGTGAGTAATGAATGAATGAATGCAATGGGGCATTAAGAAGGATTGCAAAATGAGGTGTTGTCAATATATAAAAGTAAAGTGGCATAAAAAAGAAGTAAAAAGTGGACATCAATAATGAATGAAAGCAATGAAGCAATAAGAATGAATAAAAAATAGGACGTAAAGAATGAATTAAAGAGACATAAAGAAAGAAGAAAAATATGGGGAGTAATGAATGAAATTGAAGAAAGGTGTATAAAGAAGGAATGAAAAAGGGGGCGTAATTAATGAATAGAAGCCAGGACACAGAAATGTAGAATGAAAATGGAACGTACTGAATGAATGAAAGCGCAGATGTATAAGGAAAGAATGAAAAAGGGAATATAAGGTATATTTTTAAAGCAAGACGGTCAGAAAGAATGAATAAAAATGAATGAATGAAAGCAGAGACATTAAGAAGGACGAAATAAAAGGGCGAAATCGAGGAATAGAAGCAAGAGCACAATGAGAAGGAATGAAAAACGGCATGTAATGAATGAATGAAAAAAAATGAGACTCGTAAATGAATGAATAGAAGTAAAGCAGGAATAATTAAAAAAAAAACATGCATAATGAAAGAATGAAGCAAGAAGGTAGAAAGCTAAAATGATAAAAAAAAAGGACGTAATGAATATAGGAAAACAATGGACAAGAAAGATGGAATGAGATATGGAACGTAACTTATGAATGAAAAGAAAGTGACATAAAGAAAGAAGCAAAAACGCGGGGTAGGGGAGTCATGAATAGATGTAAGCAAGGGGGCAGAAGGAAAGAATTAAAAATAAAAGGTCGTAATGAATGAACGAAAGGTATAAAGAAGGAATGAAAAAGTCGTGTACTGTAGTTATGAAAGCAAAGAGGCATAAAAATGAAACGGTTTGTTATCTATAACAAGGAACAAATATTTATTGCTTATTGACAGGAGGTACTACCTCATCTCTGCTAAGACCAAAATCAGTTGTTTGGCATTTTACAAGCGCTGAAGATACGAACATCTCTTTATTCTCCAAATAATACTTACAACATATTTTAAAGCTTCAGACTAGCAACGGCGTAATTTATTTCATGACACTTTGCAGAAATAGCTTCGATTTGTTCGTCTATGCGCAGAACAAACGTGCTTTCATCTTATCTGCGCAAACAGAAGTTACCATTATTTAGCAAATAAACATTTAGCTTCCCATAAGTATTAATTTTATACTTTGATAAAACAGGAAATTGATGATAATGAGGTGCAATACGCCCATACCCACATACACACGCATGTATATATATATATATATATATATATATATATATATATATATATATATATATATCACTGTTACATTGCATTTCTTGCATCATTTGTTTGTAATACACGGAAATAAAGTCGTGAATATAAAACCAATTATGCTAAAAGTAAGCAGACATAATGTTTGTGAATTAGTTAATCAAATATGTCTATAAGGGAATTTGCTGCCTAAATACCCAAATATATATGTAAGCAAATATATGGATATAGATCCGACAGTATGAAGAAAAATATACAGAAAAAACAAACATAAATCTTAATATGCAATTATGCTGTATTAATGTTAATATAAAGTCAATAGCATTTTCGGATACAACAATACATATATTTCCGTTGTCCTCTTATTACTAAGAGAAAAAACAAGAACAACAGCTATTCTATACCTGAAGATGTCTGTAGGAACAGACGAAAGCTTGTAGTAAAATAAGAACTAATACGGCAGAAATTTATATAAACAAGGATCATTTCATTCATAACGGATACGGAGGTTTTTGTATATTATTTTGAATTGTTTGCGATGATGGATGTCTCGCCATTTAAATCATTAACCTTTGCATTAGTTTTTGTGTGAATAATTCATGTATTTGTAAATTGATTGCACGTTTATCGTAATTTAAATAACTGATCCAAGTGCGACTTTTGGATAATAAGTGCGACATTACTGTAATTATTGAACAATATAGTTCATGCCACTTTGACAGAAAAATTTAAAATGAAACTCAGCGTTGCTTTTGCGCGCTCCAAAAACAATAACTCATTTTCAATATCATTTTCGGATACAACAATACATATATTTTCGATGTCCTCTTATTACTAAGAGAAAAAAACAAGAACAACATCTATTATATACCTGAAGATGTCTGTAGGAACAGACGAAAGCTTGTAGTAAAATAAGTAACTAATACGGCAGAAATTTATATAAACAAGGATCATTTCATTCATAACGGATACGGAGTTTTTTGTATATTATTTGAATTGTTTGCGACAATGGATGTCTCACCATTTAAATCATTAACCTTTGCATTAGTTTTTGTGTGAATAATTCATGTATTTGTAAATTGATTGCACGTTTATCGTAATATATATATATATATATATATATATATTATGAAATGGATAAAGTCCGACAAAAAGACATTTTATGTTTATACATTTTTTTTATAGATACAAATATTTAAGTAGATGCTCTGTTTATAATAAACAGTATTAAACAACATTAACCGGCCTGAATGTCCAAGAAATTGTCGGAGGACAAATATTTTCTATGAAAATTTCTCGGACAGTCAGGCCGGTAAATGTTGTTTAATACTCTTATTATAAACAGAGCATTTACTTAAATATTTGTATCTATAAAAAGAATGTATAAACATAAAATATCTTAATATATATATATATATATATATATATATATATATATATATATATGTGTGTGTGTGTGTGTGTGTGTGTGTGTGTGTGGGTTTGATTAGTACATTACTAATAAAGAATCAATTGATGTTTATTATTTGGAGGATTAGTTACTAAATATTTTTAAGGTGTTTCTGCCAGTATTAAATCCAATATTCCACATTCCTGGGTATGACGATGAACTAACTCGGGCAGCAAGGCCTCGGCTCGAGAGATTGTAGGTTTTGAGGAGCGTAAAATCATCTCTTTGCATTCAGAGTGGGAAAAACCCCTGCCCGATTGAACATCTCTTCAGGGTTGTAGCCATAATCACAACGCTTGGCTGATTGGGGTCGTAGAGATTATACATTGTGTCCATAAAGTTCGTGTGCACTTTAAAAAATTATAACTTTATTAGTATTTGCGATAGAAATAATTTGTAAAAGGATTAGAAAGAAGTAAATACATATTTTTTCAGTTTTATTGGAATTTTATTTAAGTTTCCACATGTCCTCCATCATTAGCAATACAAAGGGTAATACGAATTTGCCGCTCAACATTTGCCAACTGATTTACAGTAATGCCTGAACTCACATTAGTTATTTTAGCTCTACTTAAAACTGGGTATATTAAACTTTATAACGTTTTTTACAGATTATTTCTATCGCAAATACAAATAAAGTTATAAAATTTTTAAAGTGCACACGAACTTTATGGACATTCTGTGTAACGCACGGTTTTTGAATTCAGAGTGGGTCTTTTCCTAGTCAGGTTGCCAACCAAGGCTAAAGGTTCTAATCTGTCCTGCTAACATTTTATACTCTTGCGATTCTCCTTTGTGGAAGTCTACTTTGGTTTCTTTTATTTCCACATTCCTGAGTATGACGATAAACTACATCTGGCAGCAAGGCCTCGGATCGAGAGAGTGTAGGTTTTGATGTGTGTGGAATCATCTCTTTGAATTCAGAGTGGGAAAAACCCCTGCCTGATTGAACATCTCTTCAGGGTTGTAGCCGTAATTACGACGCTTTGCTGAATGTGGTTGTTAAGATTATTTCACATATGGCTTTTGAATTCAGAGCTTCCTAGTCCGGTTGCCACCCAAGTCTATAGCTTCCAATCTGTCCTGATATTTGCGGTAGAAAGGATGGATTTATGCACGTAAGTGAATGTAACAAACGTGACTTGAATTCGAACTCGGCTCGCCAATTCATCAATCTAAACCGCTATCCACTTTACCCCTCTACAATAATAAAGAAGAAAGTACAGAAAAGAATAATTCGATCTAAAATAAAAGAGAAAGCAAATTCAAATCCAAAGTATTCATTTTCTCTTCTATGTACTTCAGAATATGAGTGATCATGGCTCTCCACAATTTCCCGTCCTTTGTAGCTCTTAGTAAATTTTGTCTTTTCTCTATCTCTCCTAATCCCTCTTCTGACAAGAAGTTACAAAAGCTCATTCTTCTTCTTCTTCTTCTTCTTCTTCTTCTTCGTCTTCTTCTTCTTCTTCTTTTTATTCTTCTTCTATATTCCATGACTCTTCAGGAAGTGGGTGATCATGGCTCTCCACCATTTCCTGTCCTTTGTAGCTCTTGGTAAATTTTGTCTTTTCGCTATTTCTCCTAATCCCTGTTCTGTCAACCATTTACATAGATTGGTTTTCCTTCTTCTTCTTCTTCTTCTTCTTCTTCTTCCATATTAGGTGTACCTTCAGGACTTGGGTGTTCATGGCTCTCCACAATTTCCTGTCGTTTGTAGCTCTTAGTAAAATTTGTCTTTTCGCTATTTTTCCTAATTCCTGTTCTGTCAACCATTAACATACATCCGTTTTCCTCCTCCTTCTTCTTCTTCTTCTTCTTCCATATTCGGTGTCCCTTCAGGACTTGGGTGATCATGGCTCTCCACACTTTCCCCTCAACAATTTATACAAACTCGTTTATTAGGTTAAACGCTTTTTTAGTCTGGTTCATATGTATCCGTAAGTTCGGTGAGTGTTAATTTTTCTAAGCCCACTTTCATCATTATGAGCCTTAGAAAGATCAAAGTAGACCCTTGCGTCTTAGTGACATTATCGCCTTGTTTGGGGTGTACTGAATAAAAACAAAAGTAAAAGTATCCCTTTTATTTTTATTTTCACTAAAATTGGCGAGCTTATAAACACGTGTAAAGAAGTTACTGCCTGAATATATTCTAACGATAATTTCAATACCGCTAAGTGAGACAGTTTTCAAATTTTTATTACAGGTTTAGATTCTCCTATAATAAAGTGTTTTCATGACCGAATGCCCCTTGAGTTTCAGGCCTAAAATAAAGAAAAAAAAAAGAAAAAGAAATACGCTGGTAACATATCTCCAAAGGGACACCGGGACAGACTCTTAAAATGGCAATGTATGGTAATCCGCTTTATCAGATGGTTGAAAAAAAAACACAAAAAAACCCACCACCAACAACGGTAGAATGGTCAGTGGCAAGCCGTTGGTGTGAAAACGAAGCTATTTAGACTGAAATATCAAAGGAAGGCTCCAAAAATAATATGGCGGAAAATAGGATGTGGGACGTAAATTAATCGATGTTTGAAAGACTTGACTCCAAGTGGAAATAAAAGGAATAGGCGACAAAAAGAAAGAAAGAAAGAAAGAAAGAAATGGAAAAACTGAAGAAATATGGCAGCAAAGAATAGACAACGAGAATTAATAACGAGAGGAATTGTAGAGAATAGTTTCGAAGAAACAGAGAGAGAGAGAGAGAGATAAGATTAAACAAGTAGTAGTAGTAGTAGTAAATCAAGAAGAAGAAGAAGAAGAATATTGTGAAAAGGGTAAATGAAGGTCGAGGAAAAAAACGAGGAAGACACAAGAAGAAAAATGTGGGCGAGAAGGAAGAGGAAAAAAAAGAAACAAGCAAATAATTAGGGGGAATAGAAGTGGAAGAAGAAAAAGATGATGAGAAAGAAGATGAAGAGGAAATGAAGATAAAGGAGAAAGAGAAGAGGGAAAACAATGTGGAGAAGGAGGGGTAGAAGGTAGAGGCGAGGACAAATGGAAACGAGAAGGAGTTAGGAGGAGAAAAAATACGTATCACAAAGAAAGAAAGATAGGACCTGGAGGAGCAGGAGGCTGGAGAAAGAAAAGGATGTGCAGAAGAAGAAAAAGTTCCATTTGGAAGATTGGAGTAACACAATCTTCTTCGCGATTGTACGCTCCGGGCTTCTTCAGGTGGTTGGAATGTCGAACTGAACCCTTTATTTCGCTCACCGGGGTAGAATGTTCTAGTTTCATGTGCCATGTTTGATGGATGTCAGTTATCACTTACCTCCTGTTAATTTCTCTCTGAAAGTTCTCCACTGCGTTAACCGAGAACTCACACATTTTAGGTCCCTTAACTGGACCTAACTAACGCCATTATCCACTCTACCAAGTGTCCTTGAGGACATCTGTGTATGAATATCTGGGTATTATAAACCTAATGTCTTCATCACTCATTTTTAACAGTGCTCATATTGCAATATTTGCTGTTATTATCTCTTTTCTCTGGCAGCACCTGAAGAAGGCCGGAGCGTACTACGGCCGAAACGTTGTCATAAATATGGCGATAAAGATGACGACAATAGTCCGAATAATGTAAATAATGTACATAATACCTCATTAGGATGGACGAAGTCAGTGAGTGTTATAGAATATGAGAAAAAGCTACTATGTAGGAGAGAGGACAATAAAAAAACTAGAATTCAGAAGACCGAAGATAATGATTACATTAAAAATTTGAAGATGACAGTTGACTAAGATGTAAGCAGCTAGAAGAGGATCCCACAACGATACAATATCTATCTATCTATCTCATTCTCTGTCTCTATATATATATTTATTAAAGACATTTTTTATGTTTAACGTTCTTTTTTATAGATACAAGTATTTAAGTAAATGCTCTGTTTATAATAAACAGTATTGAATAACATTTACCGGCCTGAATGTCCGAGAAATTTTCATAGAAAATATTCGTCCTTTGACAGGATTCGAACCTGCATCCTATACGGAACCGTCATTTACATATTAAATACTTGTATTGTATGAGATTACTAAGTGAAACAGCCGTGAGCATATCAATCATTTGTCTATCTTTCTTACCCTCTTCCTCCCTCTCTGTCTCTCTCGATATATATATATATATATATATATATATATATATATATATATATATATATATATATATATATATATATATATATATATATATATATATATATATATATATATATATATGGACAAAATAATTGAAACATTTGTTAAATTCAAAGAAATTTTATTACTATGGAGTTTGTCCTCATTTAGCCTCACATAAATCTTTAATACGTCTAGGAATGGAATCATACAACTTTCTGTCTTCACCCAGAGGAATTTTCAGCCATTCTTCCATTAACACCTGCTCAAGCTCTTAAAGACACAAGGAGGAGGATAGTGGCCACTAACTTGTCGCTGCAAAATGCACCAAAAATGTTCAGTAATATTGATATCTGGAGATTGGGGAGGCCACTCCATGTATTCTGGCTCACTTTCATGCTCTTCATACCAATTCTTAACCACTCGAGCGGTATGTATTGGAGCATTGTTGTCTTGGAAGAAGCAGTCACCATCAGGGAATAAAGTCTTGGCCATTGGATGAACATGACCTCCCAAAATGTTCAGGTAACCTTTGCTGTTGATTCTACCATGCAGGGCAACTAATTGGACTGAGACATTTCCATGATATGGCGGCCCAAACTATCACTGATCCACCACCATGCTTCACTGCTGGAAGAAGGCAGTTAGTGTTGTAAGCTTCTATGGGCTGTCACTACTCATAAACTCGCCCTGAAGTTGGGAAAAGAGAAAAACTGGACTCGTCTGAGAATATGACTTGCTTCCATTGGTCAGCAGATCTGCACCACTTCAATCTCTTCTGAATGCTGTAAGTGGAGAGAAGAGGTTTCCTTACAGTGACTCTTCCATGATATGCAGCCATATGAAATTGACAATGAATAGTTTTAGTAGAAATTGGACTATTCATATGATTATTCAACTCAACAGTCACTTTGGCCGCAATAGTCCGATGACTTTTTGCCACATTGCGTTTAAATGCATGTCGGTCCCTGTCAGTAACTTTGCAAGTCCGGCCAGAATTGCTACGGTTGCTAGAGGTTTTGCCCTGTTTCTTGAACTGCATCATAATTCTTGATATGTTAGCTCTTGAAAAACCAAACAGTTCAGCAAACTTAGTGATCGAGGCTTCTGCCATGTGAGCTCCAACAATTTCCTCTTTTTCGAACTCGGAGAGGTCCCGTATTTAGCTTAAATTTTACTAAATTCTAAAAATAAATAAGACAAAGACAGTAAATTAGATAAATAAATGTATTTACAATAGATATAACCTTCAATTACAAAGTTTTAGTTAAAGTTCTTAATATAATAGGTCTTTGAAATATACGAGTGGAATGTGCACCTGTTCCAATTATTTTGCCCAACCCCTGTAGATATATGTGAATATAAGCGTATTTATTTTTAGATAAACATACAGTGACTCAGAGAACTCGATTCGTTTTACATTATTAGCCGTAACAGTCACTGTTTACAAACTCATAATTCCTCCCCAGAAGGCTCAACCGAATTAAATTTTTCAGGGGCATGTATATTGGCACTATAAGACTGTTTCGCTGTATCACAGCTCATCAGTGTGGCTAGACGTCCGGTTACCTCTAGCTATGACCGAAACCATCTGAATATATATATATATATATATATATATATATATATATATATATATATATATATATATATATATGTGTGTGTGTGTGTGTGTGTGTGATATTTATTATAGATTTTCCATGTGGAAAAAACAATCGCTTTTGTCCGCATGTAAAAATCTATAATAAATAATTATTGTTGTATGCATTGTAATGAGCCCTCTTTTGATTTTATGCTGTGAACGTTAGAATTTACATTATTTTCGTTCTCATTGCATTTGTATATATATATATATATATATATATATATATATATATATATATATATATATATTATGTATGTATGTATAGTAAGTATATCAAATTCCACCAAACGTGCCTATGCAAGCAAAAGGCCATTTCATGTGTTCCTTCCGTTTGATCGAGGGTTTCCGTTTGATCGAGTGATTTTTTTTTTCTATTTTATAGTTTTTGGGAAGTTCACAATTATCTTTTAGTCATTAATATATTTACACTTAAAATTTATTTCAACCGCGCTCCAACTTCTCTCCTCATTTTTTATTTATTATTAAAGTGTCTTGATTGTGTTTGTATATCACCTACGATTACCTTTTTAAAAAGCGTTAGCCGAAACGGTCCTAAAGGCACAATAAGTCCACGTTTTACTTCTGTGAGTACAAGTCTTTGTGTATACATATATGTTTAAATTTATATATATATATATATATATATATATATATATATATATATATATATATATATATATATATATATATCTCTCTTTTCTTATACATAAATATATATCTATATGTCTACCTATCTTTCTCGGCTATTTATATAATAATAAATATAATAATATATATTATTATAATATATAATATAAATAGCCGTGAAAAATAACAGCACTCGTAGCCTGACGATTGCATCTAGCATGAAACAGACTGTCGCCTCTCAGTGTTGACTTCTATGTTCACTTTTATATTTATACACGCTCTATCTCTGATACTGAGCACTTTATCCCATAAATATAGCATATCTTAAGACTATATTTCTTCATTTATATATATATATATATATATATATATATCTGCCTATCTCTTTTTCTAATATATAAATAAATATCTATATGTCTACCTATCTTTATATATATATATATATATATATATATATATATATATATATATATATATATATATTTTCTTATATATAAATATATATATAAATATATCTATATATATATATATATATATATATATATATATATATATATATATATATATATATATATATATATGTAAAGAGATAGATAGTTGATATATGCAGAGAGGATGATACAGAAATAGGACAACAAATCAGAATAAAAGGAAGAAATGCGAAAAGAATTAGTGATGAGATACAGGCTCAGAGGATTTGGAAAATGGTAGAAAAATTATCTGGTTAGACAAGAAAAATGCCAGATTGCAAACTGAAAAAAATAATTCTGACTTTCCAAAAAGAAATGGAAGATAAAGAAGCTGCGGTTTTCCTTCCATGGAAGGAAATAAAATGAGCGAAATGAAGAATGATAGAATAGGGAAACAACGCAAAGAAAAGGAGCCTGATGTCCGACAAAGTAGTTGCTGTGCCTTCTAATAGCAGCGTCCCGTTACAGCCAATCGGTATACCATTTTGCGGAAGCCATTTGCCCGGAAGAGGAAGTAGCTCCGCCCACACCAT